GACTGATGCTTGGATACTGAAAAATGATGTCACTCGTGCTACTGTTTCTGCCATGTAGTCTGTCAAGGCTCTTCCTTTGCTAGCTACTGGAGTAACTGGGATCATCCTGCTCCATGAATCAGTTTCTACTAAGCAAATAGCCGTTGGTTCCTCTGACAAGCTCGTAGCTGTAAAGCAGTAATCCATTGCAATTGTTGGTTTGGAACTCTGTTCCTTACCAGTCTCGGCTGACCTTTTGCGCGGCTTCTCTTTCCTTTGCGCGCAACACAAACAGGACACCATGACTTATACGGTAAAGGAGTAATGTTGCCTACGAAACATCCTCGTCATTGGGCCTTTCATTCTCGCGTAATGACAAGGGCACGACATACGACTCATACTTCTCCTGAGCTGCAGCGAGGGTCTCAATGGCCTCATTTTCTCTTACTTGCCTACTCAGTCTTTTGAGCAAGCCCTTCTTGGAACCATGAGTTCGCGACGAAGGATCTTCAGCATACGCAAAGTGTAGAACTCGTTGTATCCCTTACCATTCTAGTGGAAAACTTCTTGTCCTTCAGGCTCTCTACGGTTTTCGGGTGCTTGCTGTTCGTTTCATCATCAACATATTTACCGCACCTTCGCTAGATTCCGGTTGCCTAGCTTTCTTGAGAGGTTTCGGATTTCCTGGAGCAACATATTGCTTCAACCCGAACCTTGTGCGTCCTGTCCATGCCAAGTGAAAGGGCTCAACGTCCTTCTTGTTCCTTCTCGCAGTCTCCCCTGCTTGAGTTCATGAGAAGTCAAGTCCTCGAACATTTCGTACGTGATGTAGCGTTCACCAAACGTCTTCCTTGTGCCATCAAGCTGATCGAGAGGCACGGGGATTCCTGGTCCATCTTGTTGCAAGAAAAGAAATCTCCATGGATTGAAGTGATAGCGAGCAACTTCAATTCCGTCGTCGCTGATGCTCCAATAGTCTGTTTTACATTCCTCAAACTGCTGTCAGTGAATTCCTTGATATGGCCTTCCTACCATGATGGGAACAATCTGACTCTTGGAAACAACCGTAAGGACAGTAGCACTTCAAATGGGTTTTCCTTCTCAAAACACAAAGAATTCTACGCAAGAACTTTCCATTCTTCATTGGGCTCCTTCAATAGCGTGGTCCTGTATGGATACTTTTTCACAAGGATACATCATGCTTGGATCTTGAAATGAGATTTCCTCAAATCCTAAGTGAACGGGAAAATCAGCCAGTTCATGCCAACCAGGGTATTCCTCTACTGTCCTGAAGCATAATCTCAATGACCCGGGAATCCTGAACAGCGATGTTGCCTCCTTGGGCGTCACGTCAAGTCCATTTTGCTGATGCTGGGGCCTTCCTACCAAAGCTCTTCATCCAGCTGGGTGCCAATGACACATCAGCTCCTGAGTCAAGTATAAGCTCGACACGTTGAGATTTACTTCCTTCAACAGTTGCAGCAACCATGCGCGCATGTTGAACTTCATGTTCTTGCTCTATATCTGACGTGCTGCTAGATGACATGCTTCTTGTCTCTCCATGTGTCTCACTCTCTGAGTACCACGGGTACAAATCATCCTCCGCCCATTCAACATTATCATCAGCATCTTGAGCACCAGCAAAGAGAAAACGCATTTAAGCTTGTGTTCCTTCAGCATGCATGATTCTCCCAAAATACTCAATTTCCAATTCCTCTTCATCGTTTCTCAAATCAAGCTGTCCTAGGTATTCCTCTGGGGGTGCACCAATGTGGAACATGCTGACTTTCCTCACTTAAGATTGTCTGGAGTAGCTGCTTGATGTCTGTGAACTTGAACTTCCTTGGTTTGTACCTTGCTTGTTGTTGCTCGTTGCTCCTGTGTTGGTGGTTGATATGGACTGTCCTGGTGGGGCCTCACTCTGCTGATCACCTTGTACATTCCTGGCAAAATCACCTGTGCCAAGATCTCTCATTTTGTTCCCACATTGAGGTTCATAGTGACCGTTCCTTTGGCAGTAGTGACAAACTCCATCTGCTGATCCTTGGTTGTACTTACCATAGCTCTTTCCTCTACCTTTGCCTCTGCCTCAACCTTTGCCTTTGCCTTTGAACCAACCTTTCTTTTGCCTTTACTTTTGCCTTTCCCTTTCCGTTTCCCTTACGTTTACCTTTACCCTTACCTTTACCTTTACCTTTACCTCTGCCTTTACCTTTCCAACCTTCTACATTCCCTGTATCCATGGCAGCTTGACCACCATGATTATTTCCAGTCTTTTGAAGATCAGTAGTAATTGGCTGAATCCATCTTTGGGCTCCTTCATACCTAAGCAAGTAAGTCTTCAAGTCCTCATACCTAATGTTTTCATTCATGTTCAACAACAAGTGCTGTCTGACATGCTGCGGGACTCCATCTACCAAAGTTCCTATCTGCAAGGACTGAGACATTTTTTCCTGCGAAGCACGCTCAAACTCTTCAAACTTGAGGACTTGGAAAAGCGGTAGTTCATGATCTGCCGCTGGAATTGTACAGACCGAGCCTTGGTTGCAGGGGCATTTAAATTCCAGGAGTTGACTGCGTCGACGTCTTCTTCCTACGAGCGCTACTTCATCTTCAGGGCTAGGTGTCCTGAAGGCTTTTCGTTCCGCGTAGGGAAAACTGTTTTCTTTCACGGTATCCTTGAGCATCGTGGCGCTGCTTCCTGGTTCTGGGAGACCATAGCAGCTGAACACCACGCCAGTCCAGATTCCTGCAGCAAATTTCTTGGACAGAAGAAACATCGCGGCTTCCTCCTAGTCACGGATTCCACCGTGTAGGCCTCCGGGAGGCACACCTTGCAAGCTGTAAATTTCCTGACTTTTCCAACATGATGACCAGCGCGGGCCGTGACATGCTCGCAAGTTGCCTTGTGGTAAGCTTTTCCTGAACGCACTGCTATGCTCAATTCCGGCATGTACTGCGTGTTCCTGGTCTTGACCAGAAATCTTTTCTGAAAGCAATCTCTGCTATTGCCATGGCTTGTGGCAGCATCATCGCTTCCCAATGTTCCTGGGATAGGGCTTTCCTATGAACTTCACTGGAGACAGTTTTTCTTTTAAAATCCCTTAACTGTAGCACCTGCAAGGCAGAAATGTTTAACAAATTTACCAAAAATAGGACCCGATTATGGACCCAAAAATATTGTAAGCCTTCTTATAGGGATCCCCCAATCTTGGGGAAGCCCTCATTTGAATTTAGCTGCAGAACATTTTGAGGTTGGGCTTCTCGCTGGGCGCACTTTGCCCAACTCTGTTCATGAATTTTACTTGCTGGAGGGTTAGTAGGGACTATGGGAGCAATCCCTATATATAATCCCTGCCCTATATACTAAATTCCTTCATTCCCTACTAACCCCCAGTGAGTCTATGGGTTGAAGGTTTACCCCTGCTGCAAATTCTGATTTTTAATTCTCGCGCATATAAGGGAGACCCGTTTCGAGGGATCCGCAAAATTAATCCATCATTGCTCTGAAACCTTGCAGGTGCATATTAGCCGTTTCTGAACTCAAAGTTGGGTCAATCCCCCACCCAATGATGTGTACCACAAGGGACTATTGCAAATATATTAGGGCCCTAAAATAACTTCATAATTAAAGCCTATTACTGTAGATGGGGATTGACCTAAGCTCAGAGCTGTCTTGGGCAGAACGCCTCGGCATCTTCAGGTTCTCCCAAGCCCCAACTGAACTAAACCTGTAAGCTCTACTCAAGGACTCCTATGTAGTTGGTGAACGGTTCATATTCCGCCGTGGTACAAACCCTACATGCGGCGGCTTTTTTGCGAGGTGTGGTGGGAATTTCGTTCGTGTTTCAAGAATATACGGTAACCAGTGCATCCATAAACCATAATTCCGGTCGTCTTGCAACAGCATACAGTAACCAGTGCATCCATGCCCAAACCATAATTCCTTCGTGTTCCAAGAGCATACGGTATCCAGTGCATCCATGCCCAAACCAGCATTCCGTTCGTGTTGCAAGAGCACACGGTAACCAGTCCATCTGTGTCCAGATCATAAATTCGTTTGTGTTCCAAGAGCTTACGGTAACCAGTGCACCCATGCCCAAACCATAATTTTGTTCGTCTTGCAAGAGCATACGGTAACCAGTGCACCTATGCCCAAACCATAATTCCATTCGTGTTCCAAGAGCATACGGTAACCAGTGCACCCATGCCCGAACCATAATTCTGTTCGTCTTGCAAGAGCATACAGTAGCCAGTGCACCCATGCCCAAACCATAATTCCTTCGTGTTCCAAGAGCAGACGGTAATCACCGCATCCATGCCCAAACCAAGAGCAGACGGTAACCAGTGCATCCATGCCCAAAGCAGGATCATACGGTAACCAGTGCATCCATGCCCAAACCCAGAGCATACGGTAACCAGTGCATCCATGCCCACACCAAGAGCACACGGTAACCAGTGCATCCATGCCCAAACCAAGAGCAGACAGGTAACCAGTGCATCCATGCCCAAACCAAGAGCAGAAGGTAACCAGTGCATCCATGCCCAAACCAAAATTTCCTTCATGTTTCAAAGGGTTCTTACGGGCCCTTGGAGGACGCACAGCGAAGCACTCCGTCCTAAGGATGACGTTGTTCGCTTGGGAACTTCCATGCTATCCTTACAAAACTAAAGTAGTTTGCAACGTTCCCAAAAAAGAGTTCGTACCGTATTTTATATTACGAAATGCATTTTCTGAAGGGAAAATGCTCTTAAATCGTGCATTCTCCTTATGTATGCCGAAAATACTTGTAATTTCCAAGCGATCAGCCTCCTGTCTGCATTTCTCTTGGACCTCGAGTGGCTTGTGAACCACGGCGGAATACGCACCGTGGACCTAGTTCCCTTTTAGGTTTGCTATGGCAATTAATGTAGTAGCCGACAAAAGTGCATAGGAGGGTTTGAAATCCTGAATCCTTAGACGTACACCCGCAAATACTATGTCCTTTGTCCAACCCCTCTAAGATCTGGCTATTGGTTACCTCCCCGGTGTGCACGCCGCAGCGGATGCCAATATGAGGCCTAGGCGGCAGTTGTTGGAAATGATACAATTTCAGGGATATTTGAGGGGATTTAAAGGAACCCCAAACAGGGATAGTAGGAACGTAGTAGAAATACAAGGACCCTGGTAGGTACCTTCCCCATGAATTCCTGCTTTAGTCTGGGCGTTCCTTGTTCCTGGTTCCCGTCAAATCCCCGTTGATTTCAGACTACCTTGACCTCAACAGTAGCAACCTGGTGGCCCCAAAACCCACGAAAGAGACGCAAAAACAACGCAATGGCATAATGGCCGTGATTTTGTTGGGAGCCAGGTAAAGGCTCTGCATGCGCAGTCAAGAATGTCAAGTCAGTAGATCTTTGGGTTGATTACTAGGAGCTGAAGGTTTCAGCCTAGCCACAATAGCTACCCCCCCCTCCTGCAAGTAATGAAATTCACACCACCTTCTCAAGATAGACATCCCTCCCAATGTTCAATGCTAGTATTGGGGGATGGAGTGTCCATTAATAGGAGAATGTGGGTTTTTTTTGTGTTGGAGGGGGATTAGGACACCAGAAGTAGAAACCCGAAATGTGGGGCACCCGAAACACTAACCCCAGGGATCCAAATAGCCCACAGAAGGTAATAGTTATAGACTTTGGGACCCACGTTAAGTATTCCTGATACACTTAAAGCCACGAATCCTTAAGGCAACTAAAAAACATCTGGTTGAATCCCTGCTTGTTCCAGGGTCCTGCGGCTGGGATTTACCCAAAGAGCCCCCAAAGAGCCGGGTTCAGGCTGCCAAGTCGTAGGGCAAAATTGTAGTTATATTGGGGTTATATTGGGATAATGGAAAATAATATGGAAACAATGGAAACTAATATTAGGTCTTAGGGTTGAGGGTTATATTGGGGTTATGTTTGGTTCTACATGTACTTCTATCCCTTGGCGGTTGAACTTCCTTTGGTTTTGCAAAGTGTGTCCTTCGGGCTTTGCATATTCACGCGAAAGGTTTCACCCGGACCCGAAAAAGAGCCACATGTCCCAATGATACTCAACCTCAGATCCTATACAAGCCCAGTTTTAAAGCTAGTGCTGCCACAGAAGCAGTTCTCGATGCTTGGCCCAAGCATTGATTCGATCCAAGGACTCGGATTGTTGATCGCAGGGTCGGGTATGCGAGGGCTTAGGACGTCCATTGGTGTGGCTTGGGACTTGAGGGTATGGGGTATGGGTTGAAGGTTTGAGGGGCTAAGGGCCGAAGGCTTGGAGTTCGAAGCTTGAAGCTTATAGGGATTAGGTTTACTAGGGCTCCTGAAGACCTCAAGGAGAGGGATGAGCCCTGCTGGGTGGAAAAGTTTCTTACCCGTGCGGAAAGCCTGGAATCGAGGTTTCTGACATGAGCGCAGGTCCAAGGACCCAAATAATGGGGCTTCTTGCTATGATAACAAAAGTAGTTGGGCCCTAAAACCTATTGTTCGGGTCCTTGGACCCTTAGGGTGTGGAATTCCATGAAAGGCTTCGTGAAAAATCTCCTTAAAGAGGGTTAGAAAGGGGATGATTCAGGACTAGGAGTTTAGACTATAGCGTGGGGATGCAAATTCGCCAGACCCTTATACGAATCCGGAGCCCTGCCCTAGAAACCTAGCTGTAACCCCTAAATGCCTAGAACTTGGTAATCTAGATCTCTGCCATTACACGAGGCTCTAAGAGAACCGGGGTCAGGCAGACCCAAGACCAACAACCCTAAACCCCATAACCTCACAAGGGCGCCTTCTTGCCTTCTCCTTAGTCGGGTAGTTTATGCCGAATTCAGAAAGCATCTCCCTGCTATCAGACCGAGAAACTCCTCTGACTTTTCGGGTCCCTAGATTTGATGGTGGTCCTAGTGGAAAGGAACCCTCCTTTCTAAGACAGACCCATGTGCCCTGGTCTAGTTTCGCGGAAACTCACGCTTAACATTGTGCACCAACAAATTGGCAAAGCATGTGAGACCAAAGTTGCTCCTGCTTTGGAGGTACCGTTCCCTGCCCGAACAGGACAAGTTTCTAGGAGCCCTAACAGATTAAACAAAAAACAAGGTTCAAAACGCCAACATCAAATTCCCACTGATCCCTTGTTGTTCTAGAAAACTGGTCTTCAGGATTCGCTAATGCTTCGAGGAACCCTGTTGTTTGCCAACCATGTACGTTCCAGCGAGTGCCCTATGGCAGCTCTAGACAACAAATCTTTCCCGTAGCCTCTTGAATTAAGAAAATGTAACGGGGGAGGACGGGTGAAAGGATGTGAAAGGTACCCTCGGCAGCTCTAAGCAAACTTTGAGGTTGTTCGCAAAGTTATCGCCCCCTTTTGGTTATACGTTATATTACGGCACGTAATACTTAGGGGTACCAAAATAGGGCCCCAATTTTGAAAACTACCCACCTGTAACCCTAAACCCTTTAGGCTTCAGCGCGCTGCCTTCAACATCTTCATGGTTGCCTTCACACAAGCCTCTGCATCAGGCGCTCAAGGGTGATGCAGGAGTCTGCCATATGAGCTATAGTCGAAACTCCTCGCATCCCTCTTTGTAACTTCTATACTGGTCCCCCATGTAATCCCCGGTATAACCCCTTGAAGAAGTTTAGGTAATGGCTCATACTGGATATTGGGAAGCATGAGCTTGACAGCTTGGGAGATTTGGGAAGATGTGGCTTCTGAGTTGAACAGCCCGAACCGAGTGCATTACAGCACAGGCTTGCCTGACAACAAACACAGACACCCTGTGGGAGAAGCAGGCAATGATAGAAGCTTGGAAGAGAGATGATCCTACGCAGCATGCCTTATGTTCTGAGATGAGTCTTGCTGGGCAGGGCCTGTGATACAAGTTCATGATGCTTCAACTCATCTACCGTTGGACCCAGACCATCACTACTCAGGAATATGACCAGCCTTACCTCAAAGCTCACAGAACTGCCAGTGTTGTCAGGCTGGTGGCCCACCAACCTCCAAAAGCAAGAAAACAAAAATGCCCCCTCAATCCCAAATCTATAACCTCGCCCCTCAACTCCATAAACTTGGCCTCACCCCCGACCCCAAATTGATCTCAAGCACGTGCCTCGGCATGCTGCGGATTCCGCAGCGGGGCGCCAAAGACAGAAAGTATGGCGTCGCCGATGAACTCCTTAGCTTTGATGTGTCAGGGCTAAGGGCCTGCCCGGTTTATCGAACGGTTTCATACGCCGAACGGTAGGAACACAAAGCTGATGTGCTGAAAACCTCAGGACTTCCGAAGGAGACTTCCCAAAGACTATGTTGTACTGAAAAACCAAGCCTAACCTCTGAGAATTGATGGTGGATTACAAAGGGTTTAGGGTTTAGGGGTCCAGTCTGTACACTCATGCAGCTTTTTAGCCATCAACTGCCCTGTAATAGCTGTATACTAGGAATATAGTAGGACCCGAATATAAACCTTCTTATCCGGTATAGTCACTATTGCAGGGTGGGGGGTCCACCCCCTAATGTGTAGCAAGCTTTAGAAGTCACCAGAAATGTTGGACCCTCTTTAAGGTCTATATTCCCCCCTTACTCTAGGGCGGCCAAAATATCGAAAACAGCTTTAAAAGGGGATGGCCTAGATTCTGCGATGATATCAAAACAAACACGGATGACTCCTACCTTAAGGGTCCAAGGACCCAAATAGTAGGTTTTTTTTTACTAGAATATTAATAGTAGTTGGCCCTAAAACCCTATTATTCGGGTCCTTGGACCCTTAGGGCTAGGAGCCGAGCGGATCTATGGGCAGAGCTCAAGAGAGGTCAGGCAAACACTTCAAGTGCCGGTTGGAGGTCTAGTTGCTGCGTTTGAGGCTAATCCAAGACATGAGATCATATGGGGGGTTTCCCAAAATTTCGGGGTACCGTTTTGGGAGTCCCTATGATAAGGATCATAGATTTTGGGGTCTAATGTGGAGCTTTAGGGGAACTGCCATATAGAGATAAATGGACCCGCCTGTTCAGCCTGCGCCTGTGAGGCGTACAGAGCCTGGATTCATGAGCCCGCTTCCTTCAGTACCCAAATGTTCAGATCTCCAGTGCAATCTCAAGTGCGAGACCAGCTGTCAATGAGGGATGCGAATGTCAACTATACCGGGACCTTACATGCCTTGAGCCCGCATTTCCTGGTCTGTTGCGGTCTGTTCCCGTCTGGAGTTCTAGATACGAAGTTTGAATGCAATCCAGGAAAAGCATACACTGGTTTCCTATGTTGTGTAGCTGAGTTTTGAAGAAGAGGCACAACCTTCAAGCATGAAATGGACATGAGTACTTCTCCCGTACACCGCCAACGTGTCACTGTCCTGTCCTTACCATAGGACCCCAAGGAGTCGGCCAACTATGTCGTCCACGGTTTAGGGTTCAGGGACTGGTTTGCCCCTAAATGCAGAGTGGGCTTTTGCATGAAAAGTGCAGACAGCGAGCTCTCTCAAGCAAACATTTGCTCAAAGTCTCTGGCTGGAAATTACCTCGACAAACATTGTCACATAACGACACAGCCTGCGAACTTCTCGTGTGGTGGAGCGCAGAATAGTTGAGAGTGCAGCGTAGCTGTCTACGAAAAACACTTGAAACGGCTCCCGTTAGGACATCCCGCGGTTCTACGATCAGCTTGCAGAATCTTGCTATAAGCGCCCAAGGAAGCCGCCGGTTATACCAAAGGTGAGGGGCGCCGGGCTGTGTAGTCTACCCTACTTGCCCGGATGTGGATAGAAGGCTCAGTATGGCGTTTGCAACCGACTTGACCAACCAAGGGGGGCTCATGAATGCTTTGCAACCGCGTTGCAATCACGATGCCTCCATGAGTATCAATCACCTCCGCAGAAACACGGTACGTGACCCAGCTGCATGGCTTGCAGGCTTGCAGTATCAATATGCAGCAGTGCCATGCTGATACTTTTACTTGGAGGACAGAGATACAAGAGATGCAAGAGCACAGCATTATTTTCCAAGATGATGGGGATGGAAGCGTATAGTGCAATCCTGAGATATCATCTGTTTCTCTGCTCAGGGCTCTGAAGGCCCAAGGATTTCCAGTTGCAGGATGCAGCTTTCCAAAGGGATCTAACCAAAACGGATTCTCATCAGAGGGTTTGATACGCATCCCTGAGCCCTGTTGTGGGTTGATGTGGGAAATCTAGATGCTGCACCCCCCCTCAAGCTGAAGGTAGGCACTGAGGTAACGCTCCGCGAGGATCAAGCAAATGAAGAAGACTGTCCAGAAGAAGCCCCCTATAGGGACCCCAAATAAATACATAGAGATTACAAAGGGATTATAGGGGGGTCCTGTGTAAGGATCCTTTAAAGAGTATGCCCCCTGGTAACAGCCTCTAACATTAATTTAATTTAGGGAACTCATTTTTCTTGAGACGCTCTGATCTCCAGCAGAGGTCACGGGTTGTGAGTTCAAGGCCCCTGCACCGGCCACTTTGTGTCCGAATACTAGGACAACATTCCTTCAAGGTTCACCGGCAACTATACGTGGGATCTTGAGTCCCTTGACTGATTATGTTGGAAACAGAGAGCATTACTTGTAGGCTAGGGTTCCCAAATTGCCTTATTTCCAAGATTTTAAACTTTTAAGCTCAAAAATCCGCCCTCCCCAAAGCATATAAGTAATGGTAATCAACCGCCTGCCTGAGACATGTCGTTAAAGTAGCGACTGAGAAGAACCAGTGATCTCTCCTGCAGGTCCGGACTTGAAGGTTAATTGGGGGTTTCCCCAAATTAGGGCTGGTTCCCATAGTAAGGGTTCTCGTATTTGGCGTGGTCTATATATTGCGGTCCGCCCCATTTTGGGAAACTACCATTTGTTGTAGCGATAAGTGGGGCTTTCATCCGGAAAGCCGGGCTTGGAACCCACGAGCAATGAGAGGACCGGATTATATAGGGTATATTTTGGGGTTATATTGGGATAATGGAAAATAAAATGCAAACTACAGGGATTATAGGGGTTATAATATAAGGATTATTTGGATACCCAAAACCAACTTCGAACCTCCCATGAAATCTCGAGTAATTAGCCGATTAGCCTCATGGACACCCATTGGGCGGATTGCAGCCTAAGCCCTTGAAGCCCAAACCTGAAATGCTAACCCGAACCTACCTCCTAAACCCTGAACCCTAAAACCCTAAACCCTAAAACCTTAAAGCCTAAAACCCAAACCCTAGATCCTAAGCCCTGAAACCCCTACACCCTTTAAGGGCTTCGGCAGCCTCCTCAGGCCCAACAAAATCATCATTAGGGCTTTGGCTTCGGTTTCAGGAGGTCAGGGTCAGGGGTTGAGGATTTAGGGTTTTGGGTTAGCGTTTAGGGTATTCAACGTTTTGGAACTTGGGGCATAGGGCTCCCGGGCTTCCGTTCCATAGCTGATCCAGGAGGAGAGCCCTAAAGCCAATTCTTCTGTCCAAGAAGTTCTAAGGCTCAGCCACGTCTTGTATCACCATGTCTTGTATCACCACTAGGGATCCCAAGAATTCCCGGCTTCGAGTAACTCATATCTGCAAGTTTTGCGGGACTGTCTGGGACCCAGTCTCCGGGACCCAGTGTCAAAGTACTGTCGGAACAGGGATTTTGCCAGTTTAGGGCTTACTGTAAGGTTTAGGATGCTAAAGCTCCCGAACTAGCGGACTTGGCAACTTATGCAAGCAAGGAGTGGGGCTCAGGCCCTAAAGCCTCCAAAGCCCAAAGCTCGCGGGGGGTAGCTCTTCCCCCAGTTAACTGCTCTTCCGGAGACCTAGGGACCTATGGAGATGGAGATCCCTACCCAAGATTCTAGATTATTCGTGTGATGAGCATGTGCTTGAGGCTCCTACTTTCCCCCTGAAATATGGGACTCTCCATAACTTGGGTTCGCCCATATGGACCGCACGTACTATACTGTAATCCTGATTACTGGGACTCCTAGAAGTGGGCTCCTAACTTTTAACAAGCGGGAACTTGGCTTGAACTTCATGATGCAGGATTTCTGGGTGGTGGGCTGTATGACTTGTATATTCGGGTTTCAACATGTATAAAGTATGTTTTGTAGATAAGGGCTTAAAGCTATGAGGGAATGCACTTCACGATTTATCAGGTTAGCTATTCCTGGAAGTAGCCTTGGGGATGCGCGCATAACCAGAGAGATCTCAGTGTTCACAGCGGTTGAAATGTGCGTTGCGTAACAAGTGAATTATCCCTATAGACCCTATTCTAGTACAATAGTTTCCATTTTCTTTTCCATTATCCCTATATTAGAACGACTGCCCAACCAAGAGCAACTGTCCGGCGGTAGCTTCTCCACGATCGTGGTGAAGGAGGCGATATCAGAAAAGAACATCCTTGCTGTTCAGTCCGGGGAGAAGGAACAGGCTTGGGTGAGTTTTCGGCTAGGGCCTCTGCCTCAAATCCTGTAGTACGAGCTCAGGACAACTCCTTTCAAAACAAACCCGATTCCATTTTGTACACTTAACCTTCCTTTTGGACAACCCTAGCGTTAAACCCTAATTAAACCCGCCCGTACATGTTACAACAAGGGTCCTTCTGCACGGTACTGAATGCAACAAGAGCAGTGTCAGCGGGTTGCATGCGGGCAGAAGTGCAACACAACTGGAGCGCGCGCCAGGGTGTGCTACAAATGTCAAGGCCTAGGACAAGTAGAACAGCCACTTGTTCTATGGACTGCAGTTTGAGAGCGATGCAAAGAAAAGCGGGTACCTTAAAGGAAACACGTTTTTAGGCTGCATCCATGCGCCTGCCACTTCAGATCTAGAATTGCAATGATTGCAAAAGAGAGTCTTGGGGCTGCGAACCCTAAACACGAAACTAAGATAGTTCATTCACTCGTGTAGGTTGGCTTCGACAATCGGCTGGAACGCTGGAATAGATCTAGCATACGGAAATGTCATGTCTGGTGTCTTCCCGAAATGACAGACGTCTATACAACATATGTAAGGTTTAGGGTTCAGGCCTCATATATGAAGACATCGCATGCGTTATCCATGTATAGACACACAGTCCCTGAAGCATCTAAAATCACACCAAAACCGAGAACAGCCCGCATCATATGCAAGGCATGCAATGAAAAACCTGCATTAGAGCTTGAAAGATATTATTGCAACAGAATAAACCCGAAAACCCTTTTCTGTCCCTCTTCGGGCTCCTAACTGTATGCCCTATCAAATTGTATCCCCCAAAAACTCCAAACGACGGAATGATAAAAGCCTAGCTGCGTGACTTCGGTCGTACCCATCTTCAAGGACGAGTCGATACCTGCAGTACCGAGGCAACTTTCAGAAGCCAGGGATTTTAGGCCTCTGGATCCTGTGTTCATGCTTTTGAACATACCCTAAGGATACATGTCTATAGATAGTACCTACATTGGGTCCTAGAGTCTATAATACTACCTACTTTGGGCTGTTTGGATCCCTAGGGGTAATACTGCCAACCTGGAGCCTTCCCTCAGCCAAGAACTAGATACTGTGGCAATGTGGCTGAAAAGAATGGATGATCTGCGTGGTAGCCTCAAGGATCCAAGGCAGTCCAAATGCACACACCCGATAACACCATGTAGCATCTATGCAACCAGTACATGTAGGCTTTCATGGACTTGGCTTCAACCAGTGATGGTCTTCACTAGCATGACTTCAAGCCCTGACTTGCTGGCAGCGTTGTAAGGAATGGAGGAATGGATCTCTAGAGTAGTCCCTTTAAACTACAAAAGCAAACCGCATTCACCAAGCTGACCACTGGCTGTAAGCCTTTCGGGTATGCCATGGTAACATGCCGTAGCAGTGAGGGGCTATGGGCTCTATTTCTATTGCAAAGCTCAAGGGCTCATGATGCCAGTTTTCGACCGCACGCTGGGGCTTAGGATGAATAATCCCTATAAGGGTTTAAAGACCCAAACAATAGGGTGTTAGGGCCCAACTACTATCAATAGTATAGTAAAGAAACCCATCATTTGGGTCCGTGGACCCTTCGGGAATTGTAGAACTTTTTTTTGTCGGACCAGTTTGGGGTTCAGGGCTTAGGGGTTGGCCTGAGACTCGCTGACGGGATAGCCTCAAACCCGAAACTTCAAACTGCAAGCGCTGAAGCCTCGGAGCACAAATTCTGTGTTGCTGTTCAGGAACATAATTTCAATTACTACATGGGGGAAGCCTTATCAATCATAAAATATATACACACATTATGGTAACTTGAACTACGATCCTTAACAGCAACCCAGAATTGTGGATTCCCCAGGCCTGCTGCAAGCAGGATTTGGACAACCTGGACAGCATTAGGGGTTATATGGGAATCGCGGGAAAGAACATGGAAACTACTATTTAGGGTTTAGGGTCTAGGATGTTCCGACGTTATGTAAAACACTGCATTTCACACGTGTTGTTCCCTGACAATCCTTCCATACCTACAAAGTACTTTACCCCAGAACCCTAGTGATACCTGTCCAGGCCCTACATTCGGCTCAAGGTCAAAGGCTGCAAGTATTGGTAATAAAACACTGGCTCGAGCTAGAAGGGCCCTGCAGAATGTAGAGGGGTCCAAGCACTTTAAACAAGATTTGCAAAAACTAATAACCTCGGTAATTACTCAAGCTCTTGCCTTAGCCGTTCCGTGCTCTCCAAATCACCCTGTCGCCCCCGCAAAATTTAGCCGAGACAAAAGCCCCTTGTTTCAATGGTCTCCAAACTGAATCCCCCGTGCACACACTAAGCGATATTCCTGAGGAGCCCTAACTACACCCACCAAAACCCATAATTAATCCCCTCCACTGAATAATGAACACTTCCAGGGTTATTATAGTCGTGCTATCTTGCAATTATTTACTATTGTGGGGCCCCAAGCTACCAACACATGGAATATCCTCCCCCGAGTTTGTAAAACTCACTCAGGCCCACTAGTGCATCGCCTGTTTGAGTCTACACTGTTTGGACGAGTGATGATACTGTGCCGTCCTCCTGAAATAGCCCAGTTCGTATGGCACGTGCGGAAGACTCTCCGAGAAGGGGCTCAATTTGAGCCTTTGAGGACAACTTCCACTACTCAACTTCTGCTATATGGGGCCTGCTCCATAAATTGAATGCCCTGAGGGTTCAGGTGCTTGTTAATGCTACAGGGGTTGGAGGGGTTTAATATTAGGGGGCAGGATTAAGGGCTCGGTCAAGAATGGAAGCGAAACGGCACAGGCTCAGCCCATCATTCGAAAGATGGTGTTCAAGGTTCGTTCAGCACTGAAGCATCAGTGTGGTGCATGACTCTGGGTTCGAATCACGCGGGGCTTTCAACCATAGCCCTTCGGCATTGCAACACGCAAGCCAAAACCATCAGAGAAATCCGCTAAGATTTGTCACGTCACGGGGAGCCCACAAGCGCAAGCCCCCTGCACGAGTGTGTAACAAGATCAGCCTCATCCTTCAGCATGCACGCAACGTGGGCCCAACTGTTCATGCACATGGCTTTCATGCAGTTGTTCTTGCACACTTCAACGACTCAACGGCACAAACTCAGCCCATCATTCGAAAGATGGTGTTCAAGG